TGATAGCTTCAATGTGATGTCACCAAACAATCATATAAACAAAAGAATGAGATTCTTCAGATTGTTTCCTAATTTGGCAGTTCTTCGAAGGGTGGGGTGCGGGGTTAGCGCATACCCTAGGAGAAAGTAAGGGGGAGATTGGGTTATGAACGATGTTCGAATGATTTTTAAGAATATCATCAACACAACTAAAATTAATCATATGACGTTGTTTTTTTAATGAGAAAAAAAGAAAAAAAAGCTTCTCAGTCCGACCTTGTGATTACGAAGAGAAAAACCTGTGGCTTGACCTCCGTAAAAGATTTATCACAACACACTCTAAACTCATTTTTCCATAAAATTAAGCTTTCTCAACAGACAAACAAACACAAAGGGAGAATAAGACGAAGATTAACAAAAAAAGGAATGAAAGAGTGAGATAGAGTGTGGATGAGAGAGAGTATGACAGAGAGAGAGGAGAATATAATTTCTTTGTAAGTCTATAAGAAGAGGGATTCGATAAGAGACATTGAAACAAACGAACGCACACACACAACTTGGAAAATCATAAATAGTAGAAGATTTATAGTAATTCTTTCCATCCAAAAATGTTATCATATGGGAAGGGCATGAATATCAAAGATGAATTCAGATAGTGTAGTGTTCTTCTTCTTCTTCTTCGTCTTCCAAGAATAAACACACACTTTACTTTAGAAATGGAATGAGAAAATAAACGTGAAAGTAAGAATCAAATGATTTATGAGAAGTTAATTGACATGAAACATACAAACTTTTGAACGTACACTGCCAGATATTCAGAATAAGGAGAGGTAGACATAGAGAGAGAGAGAGAGAGGTGGTGGTGATGAAGGGGGGGGGGGGGGGACCGTTGATAGAGAGAGATAGAGAAGTATATCATCATCAAGAGAATTTGAATAGAAAAAAAGAGATAAAATGGAAATTCAAGAGGTTATTTAAGAATAGAAAGACAAAACGTCTGTCTGAATGATAATGATGAAGACATCTGAACACAATAAGATCGGAGGTATCGAAGACGATGAACATTCCCATATGAATGAACGAAAGTGATTGGATTATGAAGAGGATTCATGAATTGATAAAGATATCTTCAAAGAAATCGTGCAATGGAGGGTTGATGAGAAAAAAAGAGAGAATAAGAAATAAGAAGAGAATCTAAGAGGAGAAAGTGTTCTGATAAAATGACGATGTGGTGAAATTTAATGGGACTGCTGTGGGGCACGGACACCGAGACTTTCGACCTTGGAAGGAATTATGCTGCTTGTTAACAACAGAGAGGACATACTTTATGAAAAAGAGAAGACAAGCAAAAAATAAATAAGTTTATCAAGCAATTCAGAGAAATAGAGAAAAAGAGTGTACTTAGAGAGATCGTAAGACTAACTTACTAAATGTTCACATGGCTAATATAACGAGTACTCAATCATTTTCCCAATTGCTTAATCACATTTCCTTTTTTTTCATCAAATTTAATTTAGAACACTTAGAAAGTGGTTTCAAATACAAAAAAGAACTGTTACTTCCCATTTGAAGTAACCTTCAATGACTTTTCTATTGTTTAAATCTTATTATTTGAAGTTTAAATGGACACATATCCGGTAGCTCATTAGAAGTACCAATGCAATGCATAAGACATGATAGGAGGCTTCTCCGTATATCGGACGGTAACGCGCTATACAGTTAACTTGTTGATTTCATACGTTTTACTATTTCACGGACGAATCACTTTGTTTTGACTGGTTAAGTAAATATATCCTAAAGGTTAAAGAAGCTGCATATGGATATGAAGAAGAAGAAGAAGAAGAAGAAATAGCCTTGATCAGCTATTCAGTTTATCAAAGGAAATTAATAGGTGGATCGTCGAGAAGAAGAGCACGACGACAATGACAATGAGGTTGAAGAATGAAAGGAGACGAACCACGTATAAGTGGGGTTGACAGGCTTAAATGACAACCTGAAAACATCTGAGGTAGATGAAGGGGTGGTGGTGGTTAGATGTGGACAGGTTAACCGGCTCTTTGTGCATCTTCTTCTTGTCATTTTCTTCACCCTAACAGATTGTCTCTTAATTCCTTATTGTCTTCTCTCCAAATTCTATCTTGGTCACTCATCATTTATCGTCTTCCATATGATAAAAAGATGATTGTTGACGAATCAGATTTTCCTCAGCTTATTCTTTGCCGAGAAACAGCCATTTCCAGCTAATTGAGCCGAAATAGAAACAAAACGGACGACGCTTGGACTTGGTGCAGGTTTTCATTCATCATCCCCTCACCTTTCTACTTCTTTTCTCTTTTTATTTCTTTTTCTCAACGATAATCCCAATAGCGACTGGTCAAATGGTCATCCTTAGGCCTTGCTTAAGAAAACAATTAAAGAGAATTCAAACTGACTTCATGAAAAATAACCTAAAATTAGATATTTTTACAAGAGATTTGTTTTCTCTCTACCTCCCTCCTTCTCCCTCTCTCCATCATTTCTCTACTCTCTCTCTATCTATCTCTATTTCTGTAAGGTAACTCCCCCCTCCCTCCGAAGAGAACTTCATTTCACATTTGTTTTAGAAAAAAACGAATAAAATAATCGAAATTCATTTCTCTGATCTATGAAACTTGATTAGTTAAGCATGTATCTTACAAGAAATATTATATGTGAAATGAAAGTACAACACCATTAGATTACCATAACAACTTTCCTCAGATAACTACTCAGTCAGTTGCTATCTCCAACATCCAATCAGTAATGGAAAGAGGATGATGAGAAACGTATTGCTTTGTTTTCCTACAACTCGCAACTATACACTTGAGAAAGGTAATTTGAGATTTCATAAAACTCAGTTCTCTTTCTTCGCCTAACTCATATCCCTCCTGTTTCTTAAAGTCAACCAATCCGTGCGTTGCATGCTATGATGAATGGCTTGTTTCTTGTTTTCGTTCGTCGTTTCTCACGTACGACGTGAAGTTCACGTGGAAGAAAGCGTAGTCTGCACTGAAATTGCAAAATCACTTCCTGGACATTCTTCTCTTTTTCAATTTCTGATGCAAAAGGAACATTTATGTTACAACAACCAAAGATAGCAATGCATTTTCCAATATGCTACTGAGCCGTAGATAGAAGTATTGGGTTTCCCTTGCGATAATGTTCGCAATGGTCTTCCAGTGATGTTCGTCACTAACGTTATTTATAAGAAGAGAGAGAAGACAAGTTTGTGTGGTTGGGGTTAACCATGATCTTCTACAGTTTGCTTTCCTTATGCAATCTGATGAACAATTAGAGAACACACGCAGAACATTCTTCAAACTTGTAGTCAATGATACTTCTGTATGTGTTCATTGCTGTGATCTCATCTCTGAAGCTTCTGCATCATTTTACTTTTCAAATTATTGTTTTTCAAATTCCAAATGAACAACTAGAGTGTCTAGTCAGAACAAATATCGTTATCATTTGATAGATCTTCGGGATATTTTCTTTTATTTGATTGTAAAACGAAATTTTTGCAATGTGATGATATATATTAACAAATAATGAAAGAAAACTGATAAATGAATCATGCAAGCTTCTTCGTTTTTCCCTTTTTTCATGTTTTTTTCACTTGAAATTTCCAAATCTAGAAGTCAACAGCATATTGAACAGGTTCATGTTCAATCATCATCTCCTTCACGTGAATGAATCATGTGAATGGGTGATTATTACAATCTTAGATAAGATAGAAAGAAGCGGAGAAAGAGGGAGTAGGATAGTGAAGAGTAGAGAGAGAGAAAGGGTGGGAGATTGAGGGGGGGGGGTGTTCCAAGGCCCACAACGATAATATAAGAGAGAGAGACAGTGATAGCTGTTCATTGTGAACCTTGTCCTCTTTATGAGAACTGAAAAAGGACATAGTACATGTTTGTTTTTTTCTTTTTGTTCTTTTGTATAACTTTCTTGAATTGAATGTTTATTGGCGATGAACAGGCGCTTCTGTTTACGAAGATTGTCGTTGTCGTAGTCATCTTCATCGTCCTTTCCCTATTTTTCAGTTCTGATAAACTGATAGCCGTTTTGTTTCTTCTTTTGCATCATTGCTTCTCTTCATTTACATTTCAAATTTCATTAATATTATAATTTATGATGATCTATCCATTCATAAAAATGTCATTTACCTCTCTCTCTCTCTTTATCATAAAATGAGATTGAGGAAAGTTGATTGAAAGCTATCCAAGACATTACCACCTTCGCCATTTAAATTCAAAAATTATATAAATGGAAGGAGAACAAAGTACGCAATAGTTATCTTTATTTTCCAAACCCTTATAGATAACTCTAATTGATAAACAATCTCATTTATCCTTCCTGTCGTCGTCTGCCAGACAATCGCATATACACACACACTCACACTCACACACACACACATTTGAAATCCTCTTTCAAGTTTTTTATTTCCACTTCTAATTGTATAATAATAGATATTTGTGTTGTTTTGTTATAACACATCAGTTTGTTAACCAGTTTATCATCTCTCTTTATCAACCAAATAAACCATTTCCTTTTTTTTTTGAATTTTGGTTTTTTCTATTTTCTTTTTACTTTTCATAGACTGCCATGCGGTATGGCTCATGTGCCCTCCTCCTCCTCTCTCTCCCTATTCTCTTCGTAGTTTGTTGTTGTTGTTGTTGTTGTTGTGCGATTTCACTTTCCATTCTGTTCTCGTTATTGTGAGATCAAAATACTTAAAAGTTTACCAAGTTCTAATGCAATAGTGACCAAAGACTCCTTCCTTCCTTCATCACATCCCTTCAATTTAAACTTTTTTTTTCATTTTATGTGTGCTCTTGTTAGTTTTCGCACATTTTCGTATTGGTCGATGGTGGATGTTTGAACCATTTTTGGCAGGTTTTTCTTCATCCTTTCGTCATTTCTTTGACAGAAGTTCTTTTCTTCTCACTTGTTTATCGTCTTGATATTCTCACGTATATTCTCTTATGGCCATTTCTTTCAGAAAAATGCAGCAGTCAATTGTCATTAAGGCTCGTGTAAACGATGTCGAATCTACCGAAAATGCAATTTTCGACTTAACAGATTCCCTGGGAACTTACTTTGTACAAGAAGATGTTTACTTCAATGTTCCTAAAGGATATCTAAAGCTACGTATCATGCATCCAAACGTACGTTTCTCTTTCCTTCAACTCGTGTTACCTCTGATGTTTTAGAGATGTGGTCACTTGATCTTCAACAGCAACTCTAAGATGTCTGGACACAAGATGAGCAAATCACAAATCACTGAAGTTGAAGATGTGACTCAAATTCGAGTAAGTTCTATTTGAGAAGTAATGAGCTCATCCGTTCCTTTTTCAGATGACCTTAGCTGCTGCCCTAAGTGAATTGGGAACAATTCGTAAGAAGAGACGCATATTCACCGTCGATAACTTAAGAATATATTTGGACGAAGTAGATGAGATGGGTACCTTCATTGATGTCTCGGTATGTTCCTCAAGGAGGTTTCCAAACATCAATACTACCATTCTAGCTAACCATGAACACATCAGACGAAGAAGTTATAATTAAGAAAGTTGCTGATATTCGTCAAAAACTTCAAATTCAAGAATCAGATATTGTACCAGTAGCATATTTGGATTTGATGATGCAAAAACTTTCATTTGATGAAGATACATCAAGTGATTCCAAATATGGATCTTCAGATAATGACAGCGATTCATCATCATAAAAGACAAAACAAGCCTCGTCATTTCTTTCTTTTTTTTTGTTTCATTAATTCATTTTCATTTCTCATTTGATTTCAATCAATATTCTAACCCAAATTTTTACTAATAAGAAAGAAAAGAGAAAAATGCTTATTCGGGTACATGTATTTACGCGTAGAGTCGTCTCACAAGTCTTCTTGTCAGACGTGAACTGTTTTGTATTCTTTATTAACAACTTGATAATCAAATAATTTTGCTTGATAAATAAATCTGTGAATACTATGAGATCATGTAAGTAGTTTTCGAATATTCTAATTTGTGTAATGTCACGGACACGCTTGCGTACGTGAAACGAGTTCATTTCACTCTCTTACAAACACACGGAACGGTTGCTTCTTTTCATTGCTATTCAATGATTCGTACATTCTTCAGAATAGATGGTGGTACTCGTTTCCTTAACGAGAAGTAATCATAATGAACTTATAATGATGAGATTAGTTACATATTATCCATTTGCTGCATTTCTTCCAATAATGTTCGAAACAAAGGACTTTTCCTCAATATGGTACCTTTGGGTAGAGAAGCTTTCGCGGCTGCTCTATCGCCGTTTTTATAAAGTCGGAGGAAAAACTTCTTCCCTAAGCTTCTCACCTGTAAGTGTATAAACAATAAGAAACTGGCTTATTCAATTGATACCTCTGGATCTCCATTGAGTAGACATCCCGTTGTAAACTTGCGGAATGTTCGTTCATCTAACCCACTAACAACAGATTACTTGATGATTAGCTCATGAAAGGACAAACCATTCTTCCTTTGGGACATCATAATGATTTAAAGCTTGATCAATCATCTGAACTCTTCCCCGTTCTGCCTTGATTCCATCGCAGTTGATTAGAAGAGAGAGATAAGCCTTCGCTAGCTAAACAACAACACTTTAAGAAACACTTGAAGAATGAAACCAACTTTGGGATTGGATGTCACGATGTTCGTGAATTCTTCCAGTGTATCCTTTGGAGATCTTCGATCCTAAGAATTGTTCATTAAAGGTCTCTTTTATTGGATTGGTCCAACCTTTGTGTCATTCGCTTTACTCACAAGCAGATCACTGGTTGATTTAGCCAAACGATTTGAGTACTTGTATAACTGATGTTGTGCCATGAATTCTATTGCAAAGTATGAAAGCAAATCCAAGCCAGATTTGTAAACCTTCAAATCAGAAGTGAAAGTTAGCAACATGTGATAGCGGTACTTACATTGTATAAGCTATCTTTTAAAATTCGACTTAAAACATAAATTGCTGAATCAACATAATCGATAATGTTTTTTGATGAATCGACACTTTCTAATTTCTCTTTTATCTCTGTTATACTTTCAATTCGCTTTTGCCACTGTTTAGAAAAGAGTTTCGAAACCTGTAATCATGTGTCATGTCTTGAACTTTAAAACTTCATACTGTATTCGTTCCGAAACAACTTGCTGCCTTCGAACTAATAGTTTTCTCGTTCGCTGGAATCATACTGAGCATTTCGTCCTCCGCTTGGTTATCCTCTGTTTGTTGAGAGAATACCTCTAAGTTTGATAGCGTTCGTCTGAAAACAATTTGAGGCTTCTTGTACAAAAAGCTTTGTAATTCACCCTTTCAGTGCTGCAGGTACGATCATGTTCTCCTTTTCCATGAACTTGTTTGGAATGAGACTCTCGCGCTTTGTCGATCCTGTAGACTTTCTCCTCGTTCTGTTCACCTTAATAGCTTTAAAGTAATCATGCAGTAGACTGTCTCCTACTTTTAATGTTTCTATTGAAGTTGTAGAAGCTATAGAGTCAGCAGAGTTCGGACGATTTCTTATAGATTTTCTGGAAGCCGGTTTTTCTGACGAATGAATCAAATGTAAAGATTAGTCGTCAGCGAATCATCTACCTTTTGTTACCGAATCAGTTGAAGCCGGACGTCGGACGGTCGATGATCCTGGTTTTGTTTTCTTTTTGAGTGATCTTGTTGAAGCCGAAGATTTGGGTGGTCTAGGTGGCAATAGATATGCAGCATCTGATAGTCCACCGATTTCTGTTGGAGACAAATCTGTTATGAATCAGTGAGAAACCTTCGATAACTATAATCAGTCATACCGACTGGTGTGAAGAGCTTGGGTTTATGAATTGTCTCTTCGGATCCATCTTCTGAGAAAAGGGTAGAAGGCCTGGGTATACTTTCATCTGGGATCGTAGAAGAACTCTGAAGAACATTGAAAATGTTTCAAAGGTATCCAATCTATAGTACTGTTTTCTCTTCAAGTAGTTTCGAGTCAATGACAGAGAGAACGTTGGCACGTAGCGTCTTGATTTCATCACGTAAATCATGTGCTCTCTGATAATCTTCTTCATCGATTGCTTCTCTCTAAATGAAATAATTCAATTAAACATAAATCCACTTAGTTTCTTACAATGTCGTTTTCTAATTCTGAAATTTCTTTCTTCGCTTTCGTTAGTGTTCGTTGAACGATCTGTGCTTCCTTTGCCAAATGGAAATTCTCATTCTGATTATAAGATATGTTTGGAATCTAATCATACACAAACCGTCACTGCACGAAGCTTGTTGGACTCGACGATCTTCATAAGCTTGTTCATTTCTTCTGAATACCTGATGAGGATGAGTTGGTTTAAAAGCATAACCCAATGATAAAGATACCTTCCTTTATCAGTTGAGACTTTCTGTTCATTCTCATCCCATTTAGCAAACAAAGGATTCTCCTCAGCATTATCCAAGTACTTTCCAATGATTTCCACATTTAGCAATCCAACCTTAAGAAGATCTCTATTACTCATTCTCTTTGAAGAAGCTGTTACTCTGTTGTCTGGGTTGCTTTCCATCTCATAGCACCCAAGAATCTTGAAGATGATCGAAGAACATGTCTCATCCAAATATACAGTTTTCATTTCATGTTTATCAGATGAACTTTTGTTCTTCTTGAACTTCACTTCACTGAATCATGTATGTGATTGGTGGAATGACATTCCGCTTCAGCTTTTACCCTAAACTTTTCTCTCCGTCTTTCCCATTACATACCAATTCTAGTCCTTCAGCTATAAAATACATGAATGTAATTGAAATAGTTAATCAATACATATATAATCACAAGAGCATATAGCATATGTGATTGTTGATTGGAAGAGACGAAACTCACGAATGTAATAGTTATGACATGTTATTTGTAGCTTTTCAACATTACTCTGTTTTCTGAATGATAATTCAAGTTCTATAGGATACGAGGCATTTCTATGATGAAAAAAAGAATATTTGTAACAGCCTAATAGTCTGGTTGATTGACTTACTTCTGAGATTTCCATTCTTCTGAATTCAACAAATATCTGTTGTCGTTTGAATTTGAATTTATACGTGATACTATATAATCAATATGTGACATTGTGTGTATGTGTATGTGTATGTGTGTTAACTATAAATATTCAAATACATTAACTATACATACATATCCATATACTATATACATATATGGTTAAATATATATTAACAAAAACTAAAAATTTCAAAATAGGATGCAACAGGAAAAGCCATATAAGGATGACAACGAGAATGGCTGAAGCACCTGGCAACGGCTAATGTCTATCGATATATTCAGGTGAAAGCCAGCTATTTATATGTATAGGTTTTGAAACTTTTTCCTTTCCTCATATAGTAGTTGTTAGACAACAACAATACTTTTCTCATAAATCATATTGAATAGCTTTATCATAAAAAACAAAAATAAGAGAGAAATACTCGCATTGTCACTGGTTTGTTGGAAGGGTTGGGGGAGGGAGGGCAGGCAGAGGGATGAAGGAATGATCTGAAAGTGAATTGGCAAGACAGGGGGTGGAGCAATCAAAGCTTAATTAATAGGCAAAATAATATGAATTTTGCACTGGGATCATCTATAATACATTGGAATATACAATATGAATTTTCTTTTTTCTACAATCAAATAAGAATAGCTAAGGATGAAGTAAGAGCAGGACGACTAGCGTGGCTTTCAATTGTTAAAACAACCGTCATCTTTTAACCAAATCATACTTCTCAGATTCAATTAGTAACATGACTAAATGAGGGACGCAATAAGAGAGAGGGAAATATATATATAGAGAGGGAGAGAGAGAAAGAGAGAAATATAAAATGCTGAAGAGGGAGTGAGAAGGAGAAAGAGAAGTGAAAGAAAAAAAGAAAAACAAATAAACAAAAATAACATCGTCATGAATAAGAATGGAAATGATATACATAAAGATATGTAATTTTAAATGGCAATATGTGAGGCGAAGATTTTTGTCGTCTAATTAGAACAAGAGACACATTCCAGAGTTACTGGCAGTATTCCATCAGATACTACTGGAATCTCTCGAGCACACTTATCCACTTTGTAAGTTGAAGTCATGGAGCACTGAAAAATTAATTCAATAAATTAATTATGATATCAAAGAGGAAAACGCTGCCTCAGGGAAGAATGTGAACAACTTATAGATTGGAGGTAAGAAATGGTTTAGTACTAGAAGAGAATGCTTACCGTTTGAAGATTATGATTATATTGAGCCATAGTGCACTTTCTATGATGGCAGGCTCGTGCACACTGTCCAACGTTCAAAACGGCTTCGTGTACTTCCCATTTAGGCAACTCACGATCAGGAGTTACCGATCGGATGTTATACGAGCATTCTGAGATGTCAGACTGTTAAGTCTACTTATACAGTATAAATACCTGAGCATCGAACGCATGAGATGATGAATGGAGTAAGAGAAGCGTGTTGTGGAGTATAATCAGCATTATTTCCACAAACATTATCATCCGAAGTCAGTAAACAAACTCCGTTATTGATAGTTCCAGATGGACTGGGAATGTATCCGGCAGTTGTGCAGTCCTTCTGAAATTATATTTTGTTGAACAACTTCTTATGAATCTAAATTACGCTTTCAAAGCATTTCCTTGCACAGTCAGCTGGTGTTCTGGCTGGGACATCATTGGTGATGTTCAACTTGGGTAAACTGCCTACAGGCAATGTATGGAATTCAACTCTTCCACCACAGACATGAGCGAACCCTGTAAAATATGACATATGATGATGAATTGAGAAGAGATAATCCAACCTTCATGCACAGGTACAATAGTTCCTTCTTCATCTATACTGAATCCCATGTCTGTTATGTCAACCTGTTCCTTCTGAGTGATGAAGTTATGGCTTCGTTCTAGAAAAAAGACATATTAGGTTATGAAACTTGAAATAATAAATTTTGCAACCAAAGGAGCAAAAACTCAGAGTTGATTATGCAAATTCGCTAACAGAACAGAAGAAAGGTAACGAAGAATGAGTTAGTACGATAGTATGAGTAACCAAAGCTGTTGAACGTAAGACATGTTAATAGTATTGAAAACATACCACACTTGATACATTGCAATAGAACGACTTGTTGAAGACCCGTGAAGGACCAGTTATCGACAAGAACTCCGTCATCTACACATCGTGATGAGTTGGAATAGTTAAGAAGACAAAGTGGACGAGGAAAACGTGTGAATGCTGCCATATGACATCCTGTTTCATAGCAAATGTGAGCGCAGTGTTGCACGGAGAAAGCAATGGCATCAGATTCAAATTTCATCGTTAAATCCTTGAGTTCGCTGGCCATGAACTTCATTCGACCATTGGTACAATCTGTTCAAGCATGAGTTAGTTGTTTATCCATATTAATATAATTATTATTTGTTATTATTTACACTCAGTATCAATACCACCCAATCAAAAGGTTAATACTATTCTTCTTCTTCTTATCTTTACTTTGCAGCTTCAAGGAATATCTTCTCGCCATAGTATAAGTGTTTACCTTCTTGTTGTTTAACCTTCTGACCAATTACATCCTTCAATTCACCAAGTTTCTTTCCGATCAAGTCTTTTGTTGAAGCTGTTCTGCTTGATGGTCCCAGCACAGAATCTAATCCTCCAGTAGCCAAAGCATCAATAAGATCTTGAACTGCTTGCACAGGAGGTTCTGTTGTTCCATTGATTGAATCAACACTTGGGCTCTCCGTAGAATCTACAGGTTCTGCTGAAATGCTCAAAAATTGTTGATTATTTGTCTTATAAGTTTACCTGTTGTGTCATTCGAGGGAGTATGGCTATCGTCCGGATGAACGGCATGAAGCGTTTCTTCTGTTGTTGCAGCCTTTGATTCATAGTCATAATCGGATGTCTAAAATAAATGGAAAATCATTAAGCTTCATAGAATAACGCTAGAATACCGATTTGTCCGAATCGTCCTCATCTTTAGAATCATCTTCTTTTGAATCTTCTCCGCTTTTCGATTTCGGTACAAATCCAACACTAGAGGGTAGATTCTCGTCGTGTTCTGGCACGCCAATAGCTGTTGCGTTGAAGAGAGAATTAGTCAAATGAGCTTCGTCTTCTCCTTCTTCAATCTTGGTCTGATCAGGTTTCTCTTTTTGAGCATCTTCTTCATTTACGTCTCCAGAACCTTCTACAATACTCGATTCCGTTATGAAACCTTCTGTTTCTCTTTCTGTTGTCGAAGCTACTGTGGTCGATGATGATTCCTCGTTTGATTCTTCTTTCACTCCTGCTTGTTTAATATCAGCAGAAAGTTCAGTAGACGGTAATGGTGAAGCAACAGATGTGCTTTCAGTTTCTTCTACAGGCATTTCCTCATTACTAGATTTCAAAGTGTGTTTCGATGAATGCTCAGCATCTCCAATAGGCTTTACACTGGTTGTAGAAATCTCTTTTTCATCTTCGGAAGATTTTTCCTCTTGTGTGGAATTTTCTTGTTCTTGGATGAAGGGTGAAGACTGATTATCATCGTTCGAAGTTTCTTCCAAGGAAGTAGTATTGGTGTCTTCTTTTGTTGGAGCAGCAGAACTTGATGTTTCTTTTACTGGTTGATCTTCCGTAGCAGTAGAAGTAGTTGTAGATGAAAGTTCTACTGTTGCTTCAGGTGTCTTGTGAAGAGATCCTGTGGTTGTTTCCACTTCTGAATCAGAAGTTGGAACAGCAACATCATCTCCGACTTTGTCACTGTCATCCGATTCAGATGCTGAAACTGAACTCTCCGTTGTCACTTCTCCGTCTAGTTTTCTACTTTCGACTTCTTCTGACTTAGCTTCAGTCAATAGCTGTTCTCCGGAAGCTTCAATCTCAGAAGGTGACAGTGAATGTCCGAGGCTCGAAGCAGGAAGAGAGGGCTTTTCTTCACTACCGGATCCTTCAACCTCTGTCTCTGGCTCTGATGTTGTATTTGAGTGTTCTACGCTGGTAGCCGAATCAGAAGATTGGGGAGTCAGATCACTGCTTTGCGTTCCAGACTCTGTTTTACTATCATCTTCGTTAGCGGCTATATCAGCTTCAGACTCTCCTGATGACTCAATCACAGATGCTGATGAAGTGTTTGTCCCACCGCTTTCATCGGTACTTGTTTCTACAGTAGTAACTTCTTCCGTTGAAGATACGGTTGAGTCCGATGATTCATCTCCTGATGATGTTAGGGTAGTTTTTTCGGTAGCTTCCTCTTCCCCAGAACCCTCGAGTTCAGAAACGGATGAATCGTCACTTGTTTTTACTTTAGGTGTAGGTAATGTGGTTGTCACTCCGCTAGTTGTAGAATCAGATGAGGTCTCTTCGGTTTTTGTTTCTGATACTGCTATTTTCTCATCTTCGTTGGCGGCGACTGGAGCCTCAGTTTCTCCTGATGCTTCGATTTCAGGTGCTGATGTTGAGCTAGTTGTTGTTTCAGCTTCAGTTTTTCCCTCCTGTTGTGCTTCAGAAGCTGAGGTGGTGGTACTTTCACTGCTAGCTTCGTTAGTTAAGGCCGTTGTGGTTTC